TCGCACCACGTGGCGGTACGACCACCCTAACATGGTGTGCCACCCGTCGAGGTGGTACTTCGGCATTGGGCGATCGCACCGTCCACGTGGTGTGATTACCATTCTCCATGTAATCATATAATAATGATTTCTTAATGTGGTCACTCATCAAAATTTTGTCACATGAGTTGGAATTTATTATGAGAGTCCTATTTAAAGTTCTTTCAACAATTTTTGAAGGAAACCCTAGTTTTAAAATTGACTTTTGCGAAAAATATGTATTGTAAAATGAGAATTAGTCTAATTATTCTAAGATTTATTGGGGTAGTGAATTGCAATAACTTATCGCATATTTAGAACATTGCATGTTCATTATTATTAAAAAAATAAATAAATAAATTGTAAATTGTCATTTTTCGTTTTCTAATCATGAAAAATTTTATACGACGAAAGTTTAGAAGAAGGTGACTCTTGTATATTCTTTTCAATTCAGTTAAAATCGTTTTGTGAAAATGCGATTTCTGCTTCCCTCACAATCATGAATGAGAAAAGACAATTCTCACGAAGTGAAATACTTTGTAAGTTAAAATTTATATTTTCTTTTGAAGGTCATTTTTCATCTCCATGCATTTCAACTATAATAATTTATGTAATTAGCATGTTTATCATAATTTTATTGACACGTGTTTCACACGGCACGCGGTTTGAATTAATATGTGGTTATTATTGTTTAAGATTAAAAAACAAAAGAAAAGAAAAGGTATTGATTAAGATTTAACCAAAAAAAAAAATGTAAAAATGATTGATATATGAGTAATTGTTTAATCGGTATGATTGAATTGTCACGTCAGAAATTACAGAGGTCGTCGATTGGATGCTAGCTGTTGAAGAAACTTGGAGTAAGACAGGGATTATTGTCTTTCTCCAACCTGTCATTTTTTTATATTAAAAATTAGGAGACCCTACTTTATAATTCAAACGACAATAATTTTTTTTTAGTAATTTTAATTAGTGCTACTAAGATTATAATCTTAGTCTATGTAACGTTAATGTGATATTAAATAATGAGTGAAATTAAATTGGTTATTTAATTCCATATTTCATTTAGTTTATCACCTAAAATCACATAAATTAGAGTTATAATCCTAGTCGAGTTGTATAGTATTATTCAATTTTTTTCTACTGCTAATGAAAAGTATTCTTAAAATACAAATTTCAATAAGTTAGTTAATTATATTTAGAGAAATTTATAAAATATGTCTTGCATATAGAGTGTATTTTGTAATTTATATGTGATTATAGTTTTTTTTTTTTTTTAATTATCTATATCTGTTATATTATTTTTTGTATGGAGTTTTAAGTGACAACAGATTTCTTATGTATACAAGAGTTTAATCTTTTAAGATTAGTATGACCATCCTAATATCTTGAATTGATTTTTCATGTATTAGGTATATGATACAAAAAAAATGTATCTGACATGCGTGCGTTGGAGGCTTGGCGGAGGGAGGCGGTGGTTAGGGTCCAAGCACCGACTAAATTTTCAGTGGGGGCAGACATAACATTCAATGTTGAGGTGCCACCTCGACATGTGGGCCACACACCTTGGGGCGTGTGGTGGTGGCACACCCTGATAGGGCAATCACACCATCAAATGGTGCAATCGCCCCATTAAAGTTTCTCTTCCAAGTGCCTATACTTAAATCTAAAAGAAAAAAAAGTAGAGAAAATACTAATAAAATATGTGATTGAAAAGTTGTGAATCTCATAAAATAAAATAGGCAGTTAAAATTATTTGTCCACTTTGAGTTACATTAAAATTTGAATATTAATCCTTATAAAACAAGGACTTAGCCTCTGTTTGATCCCATTATTTGAAATTTTAATGGTTGAAACAATTTTTAAAAAGAATGTCTGATTAAAAAAAAAGTAAAAATTTTGAAATTATGTATAATATTATTTTTTTGGAGAATGTATGATTAATAAGAAGAGGGAGAAAAATAAATTATAATTTTAATGGGACCAAACAAAAGTTAATATTATTATTTATATTTGAAAATTTTCTCATTAGTTAAATTAGGTAATCACTGTTTTTTTGTCCTGGCTCCGCCACTTGGTGGAGCAAAGAGGATATTTATGATCAATAAATACATTTGTTTGTCCCTTTAAAAGTTTAAACTAATAAATTTACAGAATTCATGTTGCCCTAGGTACAAAATAAGAATATGATGGAAAGCATTGTAATTAACTAAAACTAATTTTTATCAATCAATTAGAAATATTGAGCAAGTCATCTTTCATGTCGAGTTATTGAAGCAGCACACTAGGTTATAAGCAAATACTTTGACCGTATTATGAATGGATAATTTTTATCGAGAAATCTATGGTTATCAGAAAAATAATTAGTAAATATTCGGTTGCGTTACATGTACATAATAAGTTTACATAATAGTTTACAAACAAATGATATGGTGAAATATAATTTGATCAAAATTTCTTTAACTAAATTAAAAAATAAAAAATAAAAAATTCCTCTCTCTTTTCGATAGCTTATCTGTATATAAATCATTATGTAATTGTTTATGTACAAGTGGCATTATACATAAATATTTAAGTGATTTAGAATGAAACCATACAATTAAATACATTATAGTTGCTTTGCACCAAGGAGTCATGGGACCTTTTGTTTTCTTTATTTAAGTTTGAACAAGACCACTGTTTGATATGTAGCATAATTGAGTAAGATGGACTCTGATAATTCTAAACACAGCTTTAAGGCAATATTTTGTTCAACTTTTTGCCTTATTTTCAGGACTATACACATAAATTTACACAATCGAATTATAATAATCTTGTAGGTAGGGAAACACCAACTTTTTAAGCAAGTTATTTGAATCATAAACTTGATTGAGTTACACAAAACTATTTAGACTCCTTATAAGGTTTGATTACGTTTGAAAGCACTAAATTCGGTGAATTAATGACATTTTAAACTATTTATTACATGGGAAAAATCAATAGTATATCACTTTTTGTACACTATTGTTCACAACCCTCTCACAATGGTATGACCACGATTATTTTGATCGTGAAAACCGCTCATTGTATGTGTTGTACATGAAAAGGCTGTAAACAAAACTGTCAAAATTAATATAATTGTAGCACTTCTCTTATTACATTTGAAATGTATAATTCACTTTATAAGATTGATGAACGACGGCATTATAAAGCATTTTCTTTAACAAAATAAAGAAATACCAAATGGAAATTAGTCAATAACGGTGAATTATTTCGAAAGCCCCTCTCAAGAATTGAAAGATACAAGTGGAATATATTAAAATTTTAGTTACAATTGTTTCCTTCTTGATTAGTACAAGTAGTAATCTTATCAACCAATTACACTAGGTCAAATTGATGTGAACTCTATTCAAGTAGTATACTTTTTATTTTATTTTCCGCTCTTTGTCTTTAAGTAGACAAAATAAACTCACTAGTCTAATTTAAAAAAACTTCTTTTACGTCCGTCGACTTTCGAAATCGTCTTAGCTGTCTCAAGGAGTGAAAATTATTGAATCTGATAAAAACTAATTCTCTATACTTGAATCGAAATCACATTTCAAAGTTATAAAAACATTAGCTAATGATGTAAAATCTCTTTTGATAATCCATTTACAAATCTTTTATTTCATAGGAAAACCCCAAGAATGGAACTCCAATAATGCAACACTAAACTCAAAAAATTGTGCGTATTTTTTTCTTTTTCTTTTAATAAAAAAACGAATTCAGTTTTGTCCATGCCTGTAATCAAACGCAAATAAAGTGAATTAGGTTTATTGCAAAATCCATAAAAGAAGCAAAAGCTTAGCTTAATTTGTGCCTTTTGACAATGACATTGGAATTAAAGTATCATCACATTGAAAAATACTAAAATTATTAAATAATTAATTAATGTAACCTAATTATTTTTATGAATTATGAAGGGGAATGAATAGGTGGTCAGGTGGTGGATGGATGCAGGTAAAAAAAATATAAAGCACAAGATACTAATGCCCCAACAATTGAATGGGATATGTTATATGGTAAAAGAAGACTCTTTTCTTTTAAGAAAGTTGATGATGTAAAGGCGTGCATTGGTGTTTTGATGTAAAAGGGCAGCCTGTTTCAATCATTACAACCAAGCTCCAATATTCTATTTTTTTCCCCATTTTCTTTCCTTGTTTTAAACTTTTGATAGTACTCAATTTAGTTAAATATTTATCATATTTGATAAGCAGTGTTAGACAAGATTGACCAGTACTTTTAACTCGAGAAGTCGTGCTTAACATTATTCACCAAATATATAGTTATAAATTAAATTATGTTGAATTGAAATAACTAAACATACTCGACATGTTTCTCTTTTTAATCAAGTCTTGATTCAACATATTGTCATGTAAATTTTACTTGCTCGAGATTAGTAATCTTCTTGCGATTAGTTCTAAACAAATTTGAATTGTTGATTCAAAAATGCTTTGATATGCAAAAGATGTTTGGCAACTTCTATATATCATGTTGGAAAAAAAAGTAGTCAAAATAGTTAATCTTATGCATGGCTACACACCAAGAAAAATCTCTTGTAAATTTATTTTTTTTTTCTCCATTTTAAAAACTCAATAATACGGCAATTCAAAAGAGTATCATTATTCATAAACAACATAAATTTTGAATAGTATATTTCTTAAATACTCAATTTCCATCGTACATACATAGCAGTAAATACTTTTGAATAGTATTGAACACATTTTTAAGTGGTTTTAAATCGAATAAAAAAAAGTTTGGATTAATTTGGTTTAAAAATTGAACTGATTTGATTTGATTCAATTTTGAAAAATTTCAAATTGTTGAGTGGTTTGATTTAAAAATTGATCATAAATTGCACAAAAATAACCGGTTCATGTACATAGTAGTAAATATTATTGAATAGTATTGAACACATTTTCAAAATTAATGTATTTGTGTAAGTTTCATTTCATTTAAACACTCCATTGCCACCCCCACCCCACCTCACAACCCACGAAAAATATTTAAAACTCCATTCTACCAAATACTGAAAGCTACAACCATAACTCCTTAATTCCAAGGAAACACCCACACGCATCCTCCATGCCATGGATGCAGAAGGAGACTCACCACCGTTCTGGTCTCAGCCGACCACCACCACCTTCTTCAACCCTCATCGCCGCCGCGGGCAGCCTTCTCCAATCTTCAACCCGGTGGTACTAATTCTGGCCGTACCAATTCTCATATTAGTGATTATGTTTTTCTTGGTCCCTCCATTTCTTTCACACACCACTCAAATTCTTCGTCCTAATTCAGTGAAAAAGAGCTGGGATTCACTCAACGTCTTGTTGGTATTGTTTGCAATTATTTGTGGCGTTTTTGCTAGAAGAAATGATGAGGTTCCACCGCCTGATGAAGCTGATTTACAGGACTTAAATGTTTCACAAGTTTCTGATTTTGCTAGGCCACCGGTGCCGACGAGGGAATCTGTTTCGAGTTCTCAGTGGTATGGGTTTTCAGATAATGTTATGAGTACTCCGGTGGGAAGCGGCGGTGGTGCACGGCTGAGGAGGAGCAGCAGCTCTTATCCTGATCTGAGGCACGAATCTGTGTGGGAAATTCGGGATAATAGGTTCAGGTTTTTTGATGATTTTGAGGTGAAAGCTTACCGGAATTCGCCGGTGGCTGAACATTTTCATCGCCATGCTCGGCGGAGTGAGGTGGAGAGTGACGAGCCTGAGACAATTGTGAAGGTGATTCCGGTGGATAACTATAAAGTTGAAACTTCACGGTCTCCACCCCCACCTCCGACACCGCCAAAATCACCTGTACCACCACCGCCTCCGCCACCACCTGCGGCGAGTTTGAAGCGCAGAAGATCTTTCAGAAGCGTCCCAAAGAAAGAAAAGTTTGAAAAGCGGAGGAATGAGGATGAATTTAATGAAAACAGACCGCCGCCACCACCACCTCCGCCTCCACCAGTAGCAAAGTCGCAATTTCCGGAGATAACAAGGGAAATAATTCACCGGAAAAAGAGTGGCACCACCAAAGAAATAGCAACTGCAATTGCTTCATTGTACATCAAAAGTCAGAGGAAGAGAAAAAAGAAAGTGAAAACTAGAAATATTTATAACATTGCCTCCGCCTCCGAGAATTCTTCACCTGAACAGTCAGGTACAGCAGCACCACCTCCTCCGCCTCCGCCTCCACCTCCGCCACCATCTAAGGTTTTACAAAACCTGTTCAAAAAGAGTAGCAAGAATAAGCGTGTACATTCTGTTTCCAACACAGCACCACCTCCCCCGCCCCCTCCTCCGCCACCAAATTCAATTTTCAACAATATTTTCAAAAGCAAGCGGTTCCAATCATCTTCCACGACTTTACCACCTCCACCACCACCACCTCCTCCTCCTCCACCTTCTTCAATTCTCAATTCTTTATTCAAAAATGGAACCAAAAGCCGCCGTTTCAAGAACATAAGCACCCTGCCTCCAGCACCAACTCCACCACCGGAACCCCGGTGGTACCACTCTGTCAACGCCGGGAAACCTCCAAAACCCAACAAAACAAGCTCCTACTACAATGAAAGCGTCATTATAGAACCATCATCTCCCCTTATACCAAGGCCTCCTCCTCCACCACCATTCAAAATGAAGGAAATGAAATTCGTGGCACGTGGAGATTTCGTTAAGATAAGCAGCGCGCAGAGCTCCCAGTGCAGCTCCCCGCCGTCGGAGCTTGAAGATTTTGATATGATGTCAGTCAAATCCGAGGGTGGAGATTCAATCGGGCCTTCAGTTTCTTGCCCAAGCCCTGATGTGAATGTCAAGGCTGACACTTTCATAGCCAGGCTGCGAGATGAATGGAAGCTGGACAAGATGCATGAATTCAATTAAAGGGAAGAGAAAATTGGGCCGATGTCCCGGTTGGCCCCGCCCGATGTCGCATAATTTGACTGTTGAAATTGTGGTGTGAATTTTGCTTATAATTTACAGAAAAAAAAAATGAAAAAAATAAAGTTGATTTTGAATAACATGTAGAGGTATATGATATGTGCAGGCAGAGAATGGACTGTGGAGATTATGGCTCTTTTTTTTTTTTTTTTTTTCTTTAACCTCAAATTAGAGCCCAGCCCCTTAATATTATTGTACTTGGATTGTTGAAGTTTATTTTGATTTAAGGGCTCTGATTGTAATTTTTGTTTCACTTTCAGAGTCCTTATTTGTCAACAGGGAGTTTTTGAATTTTCCAGGTTAAATATCCCTTTGTTTTTGTGAAGTAATTCGAGCTTGAAATGAGTGATCGGTCGATATCTCAACTTATACACTGTGAAAAATATGATTCGATTTCGATCAAATCGAATTCAGAGTACTCATAATATTTGATATATTGGAGTGGAAAAAAGGGACAAGACGATTAGACATTGTCATCAGAGCAACGATTAAGACATTCTAACAGAAAACGGCCAAAACTTGTTTTGGTCTATGCTTTGCTGTAATTATACAAGACGCCCACCAGTTCAATTTTTTGTCAAGTTGATAATTCAATAGTCTTATGAATTAGGTCCATAATGTTCCCCCAAAGAGGAGTGGGGACCCTTTTAATTATTAGTCTGAGTAGTAGTTTTCAAGAAGTTGTTTGTTTGGACAGCATAATATAGTGGTCCTCAAACAACTCAAAATAGTTCATTAAAGCAAATTACATTTTTTGAGTTCTAGCTTTTGAGGAACTTCAATTCGGGTGGTGGCCTAGTGTATTGTACTTAGTTACTTATGTCAACTTCTGCTAGTAAAGATTTGGCCCCATTTTTTCGAAATGAAAATGGGCGAAATTATTATTATTATTTTTTTTTTTTTGAAAAATGAGTGGTTGAAAAAGAAAAAAAAATCGATTTACGTATAATATTATTTTATGAAAGATTGCATGGTTTTCAAACGGGGGCTACTGGGTGCTGAGTGGTTATGTAACGTTGCATTTTAAGAAGTTATTGAAACGAGCTTTTTATTTCCTTTCTAACACGACACTCATAATATTCATAGAATTTTATTTTTTGAAATATTTTTAAATTTCTTTCACAACGCTTTGGTTTCTAGCTATTATATAAATATATTTTCATAATGCAAATTAATATCTGAACATTAATCAAATTAAGCAGCAGATTCCCCTTCTAGTGTTACTCCTATTGGGTAGTGAGTGGCCAAAAATTAATTGTAAGTTTTGTTGTTCTGTACCGACGATTTGTTGTTAATTTGATTTAATTAATTGAAATGAATGTTGTATTGCTACTTCAAAAAAAGAAGAAGAAATACTAGTGTTGTATGGTGTTATATTCATAAATTACATGGCATGCGCGTGATGGAGGGAGTTCCACATTGGTTGACATGATATCGACTATTTAATTGATTGGACCCATTTAATTAAGGGAAAATTTCATAACTAAGAAGATAACTATTACTCATTTCAAAAGTAAGAATACACGTTTTAAATTTCAAAAATCAGAAATTTATTAATAATTTAATTAATTAATAATATATTTTATTAATTAAATATATTAAGGTCACGGATCTATACAATTTGGTCACAGATTCACAATTTAATTAGTTGTATATTATTTTTCGGTCACAAGTTAAAATTTTTTAATGTCAAAAATTATTTGACGGTCACAATTCAAAAATTTTGTAGGTCACAATTTGTTCATCGGTCAAAGATAAAAAATTTATACGTTATAATTTATTTCTAGATCACAAATAATAAATACTATAGGTCACAAATTATAAATTTTTAGGTCACAATTTATTTTATTGGTCACGTATTATTTATTGTTCACATATTAACCAATTTAATAGTCACAATTAACAAATTAATCTGTGACTACCACCAAACAATCACTACCTCCAACATCGCTGTCGGCGCTACCATCACCCTACAGTAAACACCATGATCGAAAACAAATCAACACACCCGAGACCACAACCACCGACATCTCACCGTCACTGCCACATCCACTATCGCGACCACCGCACCACACAACACAACACGACCACCAGCCCAACTAAAACCACCACACCGCCCCCACGACCACCAGCACCACCGCAACACCCCACCAGAAAAAATCCCTAATCTGCCACCGGACTCTACCACCACGCCACCGCCGTATCAACAACTACCACGGCTCGTATCATCACCTCCGCTCAACCACAACACCACCACATACAACCCACCACAAACATATCACTACCACAGTAACAATCATAAAAAAAACAATTACCACCAACCAGAGCTCGCCGCTCACTGCAGCGTTCTGCGGCGACCAAATCACTGTCATGCACATCTCAATTTGCCACCATCACCGATCTGCTTTGCCACCATAGCCATCATCGATCTGTGAAGAATGCACCATCACCAATTTGCTCCACAACGAACACACCATCCGGATCTACTTCGCCATCTTGCACGGTGCGATTCTGAAGATAGAAGGGAGGAAGGTGACTAGAGAGATGAAGAGATAGAGAGAGATGGGTTGTGGGATAGTGTAGAGAGAAAGTTTGAATTAATTAGGGTTTGAAATATTAATTGAAATAAAAATTTTATTTTTGAAATGTTAAACTTCTCCTCTGAATTTAGAACTCGTGATTTTAATCCTAGGGTTTTGTCTAATATCCACTTTAATTAAACAATTGCATTTTGGACTTGGAGCCGAGTTCATCATGCCCACTTGGCCCATTTATTTATTTATAAATATGTGATTCATTTCGCAATAAGGTATGTTTTTCTAACCCTAGCCAAAATTCTCTCTCCCTCTTTTGCAATCAAATTTTTCTCGTCTGATCATTTGACTTGATCGTCGGAGCGTAAACGATAGCCGGACTTTTTTCTCGACCGACGGTCTTTGCATTCTAACGGGATGTTCAGTGTACTGGTGAGTCTAAGTGGAGGGGACGTGGTCAGGATTTTGTTGACGTATTTTTTTGTGGTCAACATATGGTATTTTAATTGTGTCTATGATTAAGTGCTTTCGATCACATTGAGATAATAACAGTTGTGTACTTATGTGGTTAACCATAGTGAGACACAGCTTATATTTTAGTCAAAAATTAAGTGGTCCACAACTCACGAACAAGTTCGGCTATTAGATTTGATAAGGTCATACAATTGATTGTTCCATTGACTAGGAGTGATATATCTTAATAGTAGAAGTGTAGATTTGTAATACTGATCCTATTACATTTCTAATGCATTAGATTGACTGCTTGTAAAAATTAAAATTTTATTTCAGGGTTATGATCGTGCGCAGAGTTAAATTCTAGTGCCATGTAGATCACCTAATTTTAAATTGGGTAAATATGATTCCATTCGTGAGCTCGAAACTCATTGAAATGTCAATGAGTAGAACCACATAAATGATGACTATCATGATATTTTGTAGGCTAGTGTAAACGAACTAGTGAATATATATTCACAGAAGGAATCCATTTCCCTAATTAGGAACAAGAATTCCTTTAAGTAATATTTGGGTGAACAAGATCTGAGTTCAATATTTTTACAATTGGATTTTTGCCTTATGCTAGTGATTCGACCACTATAAACTTTGAAGAAAATGTAACTCAGAGAGTTACAATAATTAGAAGGACAAAAGGATCATCTCTCACATAGCTCAAAAGATCCTAGAAAATGGACTTCCATGTGACCAACGGAGAGCAATGCCGCGTATATTCCTGACTACACACTTGGCACAAACGGTCAGTAGATCGTGGCCATTCTTAGCGATGGTGATTGTAGCCATGAACACTCTGGTGATTAAGTTAATCGAATATTATCTTGTACAATTGATTTCGGCAACCAAAGACCACTGGACCCGTTTTAAAGTTATCTCAAAAGGCGAGGAGAAAATGTTTGTTACTTAGATGGTGGAGTTCTCTTACCTCACAAAGGTTTAGATCATAGATATTTATAGAGAGAACCATTAGATGGAGAATATGTGACTTCATTTGCTGGTCCAAAGTGACTATTCGTAGACGTCCATCTTTCACTCCATAAGTGGGTGGGCATTTAATGTTTTTGACTTCAAGTTGAGACATTGGCATCTGTTGCATAGATATCACATTCATTACTTATAAGATTTATTTTGGATAGTCCTTACCTAAAAGATCCGTATCTTGTGCCGAAGCTTCTAGGCGTTAGGGCTCAGAATTTGTTTGTACCATATCGGATAGACACTATCCACCTCAGTTTATATTGGCACATTAGGTGCTTCGACACTTTGAAGCGTGGTCTGTGTTTGATGACCTGACAGCCTTGTAGCTTGTCACATGTGGCGTAATAGGAGGTATGACATTGGACTAGTTAGAGGATTTATGCAATAAGAGAATGCAATCTTGCTTCTTACGTGAAAAGTCTAGCCAATAAGAGTTAAATGTGGCAAACTTAACTATTGAAGCTTGATTTATATGGCTCATGTCGGATAACTTTAGCCCCCATTTGGCCCCCTTTAAAACTCTTCAATTTAATTTATTTTTTTCTCTCCTACTTTCAACCACACAATTTTCAATAAAATAGTATTACACTCAAATCGAAAATTTTTCAACCACACAATTTTCAAAAAAATACTATTCTCCCTATTATAAATTCAAATAATGGGGACCAAACGGGGGCTTAATAACTCCATTAAGCATGTGAACTTAAATGCAAGTAATCAAGACAAAGTTTCTCTCTCTCTCTCTCTCTTTTTTGGCTAGCGAGTAATCAAGACAGTTTTTAAAAACCTACCAGTGGCCTTAACGTGTATTTTTATAAAAGGCCTAGTCAAGTCATTCAAAACTCTTTTAGGCCTAACTTTCTGTAGAAAAGTCTTTGAGGTCTTTTTTAGGGTTAAAACGTCCAAATTATCCTTGTACAGATCGTTGAAATATCTCAAATGCCCTTAGTATATAATGATTATGATGCCCATTTTTCAAATTATAACGGTTAAATTCACTATTTTGCTCTTTTTTGAAATTTCAGCTTTCTTCTTCTTCTTTAGTTTATCTATAAGTGATATTCTTCTCACTTTTAATTATTTTATAATCTTGTGTTTTTTTATTTGTATATATATTTACTGCCATTTCTGTTTATTTAGGTATTTGAACTCATTTATCGATCTCAAGTGGCTTTTTAAAACAAAATCTCGTATATTTTAGTTACAGATTCAAAACAGATTTTTATAACGACTGCATAGTCATTTAAAACAATCATAAAAATGACTGCAGT